ATCTACAGGACGTGCATCCATGTGTGTAGTGTATGCGTGCTTGCGTTTGTGTATACAGGAGACAAGGCATGCTGGTGGTCGTGTTAACTTGTGTGCTTCCCTATATATACACGGCTACCGTTCGACAGCCCGGCCATCGTCAGATAGCCCTGCGGTATCCTTTCGACAGTTGAAACGGGCTCCCTACGTCATCTTGCAGATGTTCCATCGAGTTAATTCGGCAAATTGTTTGCGAAGGCCGTGCTATGTAATATATTGTATGACCATACTCGCCAAATCCCAGACATCGGAAAATAGTCTCCGGCGACCGGGACGCCGGGACGCCGGGAAGCCGGCTAATTCCTAATTCCCAGCCGGTGGCCGGCGTAAATGTTACTGAAGCCTAAGGGAAATTAACGTTTTAAGTATATATCTAAATCAGTAGGGAATAATTAATTACTTGTACTCCACGGTGGCCTCATGTGCAGAGAGAAAAATACGGTAAAAAATACTGAAAAATGTGCAGTTCTGGATATCCTGTTTTTAATGATATGCTAAATTCGAGTATCACCGTGGACTGAGATGAAAAGGTGCTGTTGTCAAATTTGTAGATTTCATTCACCCCAGGGTCACCCATTTTCCTGGTACATATCGGAAAGTTTATACTGGGAAATAACACTTAGTCATAGGTTACTAATTCGCGAATATGATGCCGACTTTATAGTGATACATCACTGAGATATCATACCGAAGGAATTCGGTACAGTATCCCGCCCGGAAAGCTGGTATACTAAAAAACTGACTGTTACAGCGACGTGTTAAGCCATGTGCTTTTTCTTGCGAATTACCTTAGATAAAAAAAAAAATTTGCAGAAGCATGGATCCGGGCTTACAGATTGCATAAACACGTAATTAATATATGATATACAACATTTAAACGTCATGCTAGATGTTTGATTTCATAGAAAATGTTACCAGACGTAAACGTTGTTTCTATTATATCTAAAAACTAACATCGTGCATGTACATGTTTGAAACCGCCATAAATGAAGTGCTGTAGGTGTAAAAAAGAGCGTTTTTTATATCATATTTGCATGTGGTTTTACAGGCCTTAGTGAAATACCGGCTGCTGCTGGTGGAGGTATGATCATGCTGATTATGTTATCTACTAACCCACACATAACGTCTGCGTACTTCTGATTGTAGCTACAATGCTATGACAAAGTGATTGTATGATTACGACATGCAGTATCACATTATCTTGCATGACTTCACATTTTATATATATTTTCTTTTGTCTATATATTTGAAATTATTAGCTTACAGATGAATAGCTACTTACTTTTATATATTGAATCACTAAGAATGTTCAAGGTAACAAATGTCAATTTGTTTTGTTTTTTTATTAACCTGACTTCTCTGATAATCAGCCTGTAGCATGCTGCGATAGAGGGTCTTCAATTTTGTTCAAATTTCTTGTATTCACTTTGACATTTGCACGAGTAATAAATGTTTATATATTCCTAAAAATAAAAAATAAACATGAGGTATACACTACAGTTTATTAGATTTAGCCTGTCTATCGTTAGCTTGTTTACTGTCAGTTTTTTTTAAATACATACGACGTTGAGTCACTTTTGAGATCCCACGTGGGATATGAATATATTTTTTAACCAGATTGGATAACAAGAAGTCAAAATGGGCATTTTGTATAAATACCATTGCAAATAATAAAATTGGTAACTTTTTGATATCAAAAATAATATTAAACAGATGATGTGTGAATAATTGAAAAATCTTAATCGATAGGATTCAGTTATAAGTTTTAAGTGTTTGTATACACTTGTACAATTTACTGTTCGAAAACAATGTTTGTATATGAAAAATGGACTTTTTTACCTTGTACATAATCGTTTATCATTTGAGCGATACTCCTAACTTGTAATTTGCTGTATATTTAGAAATGAACTACGTAATGGGTATATACTTATAGTCAAATGTATCAAATTATCAATGCATTCTATTTCAAAGAGGACAAGTTCGAGCTTTCTAAAAGTCAAGTCTACATAGCAGTGAGCGTGGGATGTGGTATACTGTTGGTCGTGGCACTAATCTCATTTGCATTGGTGGTCAGGATAAAGATGAAAAAATCAGGTGTGTACATGCAATATTACAGCTAGGGTAATAATTTAAAGTTTGCCCTATAAACGGGACTTGTATTTGTTGTTCGGAAATACTTATGTACATTTAATTCACTTTTTTCATTTTTTTTTTCATTTCATTTCATTTTTATTTTTTTTTAAATTTAAATGTAGTGATTAAAGGGAAGGCGATCAACGTATGTCTAATATGATTATAACAAATAATATTCTTTTGATATTGTTGTCATGTAGTGTTCAAGTGTTGTAACATGTTACAAAAACTTTAATTAAGTTTAAAGATCTGAAGTAGGTCTTTTTCAAATGTCAGCGATATTATGAGCTACTAAAAAGCAAATAACACATGCTTATTTATGAAAAAACCCACAAACTATTTGACTACTTATTAGGCATCTGAATTGTGAATTATTAAGACATGATATTGAATTGTTTGATTCTTTTCCTCTTTCTTTCGTTTCCTCGTGTGAAATATTAATTCTGCCTTATTGAATATTTTTTTGTTTTGTGCAATGACAAAGTACTAATGGTTTGATTATATTACAGGTCGATCAACAACAAGTGGGTGAGTTATTACTTTATTCTATTTACTTATATAAATATAGAAAAATGGATAATCTTCACAAAATGAGAAATTTAATATCGTAAATCTATATTATTGCTACACTGTATTTCCTTTTAGTGACTTTGTGTCATCTTTTTATAGCTGAATGGTGTTTTTAGATATTGTATTTAAACCGTTTCTTTAGTTAACAGTAGCGATTTCAACATAGGATTAAAAGAACACACTGGCTATATTGAACATTGACGTTAATAAATTCCTAATGAAAATTTATGCTTATGGCTCAAAATATACACGTAGTGAAATAGATATCATAACATTCAGTACATAGGTCTTGACCTCGATACAAATGTGTAACGTTTTGTTCAAACAATGACATGATAAATTTACACGGAATCGGACTATACACACAAGTGGTTTCTTAATAGAGGAAATGATTCAAAATGCGCAGTACTTGAATTCACGCCTTGATGCAATGAAGTGTTTAGTCGCAACGAAATTAACATTCACGATACTCTTTACTGAAATATAAAGCATAGTGTAGGCTACTATGTTGGCTGGTGAAAATGCTCTAAAATAGTCGATTCCTTATCTATATTGTTATTCAATCGAAATATTTCACAGAAGAAATACTCTAGTCTATAGGTATGTCTATTGACATGTCAGCATTCACTGGAGATATTTGGGCTGCTAAAAGCACAATGTAAAGTTAGCTTTGTAATCTCAAACAGTTTTCACCTAATTAGGACAAAGTTGCCTTTTGTGTGGCATCTCGCTTCAACATTTTGGTTTTCTGAACATGTTCCTTGCAATTTTTATCGTTTTTTCTTATTCACTGGTAAGGCAACTTTGTCCTAATCACATAATTAGGACAAAGTTGCCTTTTGTGTGGCATCTCGCTTCAACATTTTGGTTTTCTGAACATGTTCCTTGCAATTTTTATCGTTTTTTCTTATTCACTGGTAAGGCAACTTTGTCCTAAT